TACTTTAGTAAGACCGATGGACTGACCAGTCAGTCAAAGTTGTTTCTGTCCATGTATGGCATCATGAAGGGTGGTCAACACAGATCTCACTTCGGTGATGGCTGATAAGATCGTGTCTCCTCAGAATGCTTTCCTTGTCTTTCCTTGTCTTCTTCTCTCTCCACCCGTTACACAGAAATATACCCTAGCTCACAAGCTCGCAGTGGTTCGTCTTGCCAAGCTGGCAATCCTGGCAGAAGCAAATAATTCGCTCTCCGGCTGGTTTCAAAAATGACTGTGGATTCTCCGAGGATCATGAATCTATGCCATACAGTAGACGTCGTGCGTACGTTATGACATTGCCTGAAGCTGAGGGAGAACCGGCGCGTTACTCTCGCTTTCGGAAAGAATGGGCCACTGCATACCCTGAACTCGACATCGTGAGGATAACGACATTTCGATCCCGAAAGCGAGGGCTTGGCATTCTTACTAGCAGCATATGTGCAGCTGATCGTTCTATGCAGGACAACGTTGATGTGGCCATGATTTTTGAGGACGACGCTATGCCTTTCAAGCCACTCAACCAGGATTCATGGAAGACTGACTAACATACATTAACTCATAGCGCAACGGCACAAGACAAGCTTGTGTGAGTGCACCCACTCGGTCAGGCTGCGAGGCGGGTGAGGTCGGAAGGTGAAAGTTGGGAGCGTCGCAATGAAAAGCTCGTGAGGGTGGGCGAAACTTTCCGGGCGAAGCTCTGGTGAAGGCTCAAGATGACGGTGCGTGTCTGCACGCATTCATATCCTGGCGCAGGACGGTGCGAAGGTGAGCGCCGGACGGATGAGCATGCCGCCAGGATGGAACATTCGGTGATGTGTGTGTGAATGCAGAATGAGGTCCAAGATGACAGAGCGAAGGGACGGACGGCACGTTCACGTCGGTGGCAATTGGACGGTGGCGGAGGTGCTGCGGGCCAATCAGAGCGTCGTAGAACTCCAAGAGGCACAGCGGGGGATGACACTGGTACGCATTCGGATGTGGATACCATGTGAATTGAGAGACCACCGGCTGTATCATCATGTGATGGTGTGGGATGCGGTGTGCGTGTGTGACTGTGTGTGCAGACCAGGCTGATGACCATATGCTGCGTGTCTGCACGCATTCATGTACCAGCGGAATGTGGCGGGGCGGAAGGTGAGCTTGGGCACTGATGGACTCAAGCTGGCAGATAGGTGGAAATATGGTGGAAAGTGTCTGCCTTCCATGACTTTTTCAGAAGGACATTACTGCTTCACGTGACACTGTGTAGTGCAGTGCAGACCGACAGATAACGACTGGCGCCCTCGGCACCCCTTCCAATGGCCTGTGACACTGCCGGACAAGCTATCGCTACTGTGGTAAGAAGACGGATTCGGGTCATTCAGCTATGAAGTGCCTGTCGTTGTAGCTGTCGTACATGCAGAAGAGATGTCATTCATTGATTGTGGCGATGGGGACGCGAAGAGCGTGCGGACGGGTACTCTGTATTAGTCAGGCTGCCTTTCTGCAACATGTCGTGTCTTTCCGTCCGTCTCCTCAGTGGCCGTCAGTGCCTTCCTCTGCTATGTCGCCCTCCTATCAACTGGCGGCTCTTTACTCTTTTGTCTGTCTTCACTGTTGGTCTGTCGTATGACTCTCTGTCGGTCGTGAATATATGTCTTGCTAGTGCCGTTGTCGTGGTGTTCGTCTATCTATCTGACAGGCAATGACAGACAGAGACTAAGGACTCATGAAATGTGTGTCACTTGCGGGCTTCTGACACACAGGTAGCAGATGCGTGTCTGGCCGCCTGCGTCAAGCGGCTGGAGCCACACCTGCTGATGGACG